ATCTATCTATCTATCTATCTATCTATCTATCTATCTATCTATCTATCCATCCTTCTATCTCTATCTATCCATCCATCTATCCATCCTTCTTTCTATCTACCTATCTATCTATCTATCTATCTATCTATCATCTATCCTTCTATCTATCCATCCATCCATCCTTCTATCTATCTATCCATCCATCCATCCATCCATCCATCCACCCATCCATCCATCTATCTAATCTATCTTATCTTATCTTATCTTATCCATCCTATCTATCTATCTATCTATCTATCTATCTATCTATCTATCTAATCTATCTATCATCTTTCTATCATCTATTTATCTATCTACTATTCCTCCATCCTATCTATCTACCTACCAACCTACCTAGTCTATGTATCATCTACTTTTTCTGTCTGTCTGTCTGTCTGTCTATCTTTTTATCTGTCTATCTACCTACCTATCAACCAATCAATCTCTGGGAGTTGAAGTCTGCCAGGCTTAATGCTGCCAAGGTTGGAGACCCCTGCCTTGAAGGAAAAGCGAGGGTGGGGGAGGCAGGGAAGACCCACTGCAGGGGAGGGGGAAGGGCCTCTCGACAAGGAAGCCTCTTTTGGGCTCTTCCTCCTCTTTCTCCCTGGAGCGGCTGCCGTCACTCGGTCCCAGCCAGAAAAATGCTTTGGCTGTGCCTTGGTATGCGCCGGAGCCAAACAAAAAACAAAATACGGCACTGGAGGAGAAACAGAGCTTGGTCTGGCCAGGGACCCCCAGGGACGGGGGAGAAATGGCCCCGGGGGGGCTTCTCCCGAGGAAACGTGAAGGGAAGAGCCAGACGCTGTACAGGTAGAGTCCTCCTCGGCTTACAACAGCTGGGTTAGTGGCTGTTCAAAGCTTCAACTGAAAAAAGGAGCGTTTCTCACACTCACAACTGTTGAAGCATCCCCGCGTGACCAGAATTCAGGCGCCTGGCAACTGACTCATACTTATGACCGTTTGCAGTGTCCCATTTGCGTGATCTCCTTTTGCAATCTGCAAAATCAAGCCTTAATTCGCTTAACAGCCTTGTGGTCGTAAGACAGCACACACACACACACACACACCCCCGAGCAAGTCATACGATCCCAGGGGCGGAGCCAAATGTGCTCAGGGGCGGAGCCGAGTGTGCTGAGAATGAACAGCACTGGGTTGTGGGGGGAGGGGTCTCCCATGCAGGGGGGGGTGGAATTTGCAGAGGCAGAAGCCCAAAGATGCTGGCAGGAGCCTCGAAAGAGGGAGAGGGGGAGTTGAACCCTTCGACCCTCAGCCAAGCTGGAAGGGGGGGGGGGGGGGGGGGGGGGGGCGGGGGGGGGGGGGGGGG